AGAAAGCTCAGAATACTTGTGGAAGGTGATGAAGTACCGCCACCCTTGAAAACTTTTAAGGAAATGAAATTTCATAAAGGAATCTTATATGGATTGGAACAGAAGGGTATCATCAAGCCAACTCCAATTCAAGTTCAAGGAATACCCACAGTGTGAGTCTCCAATTGATGTTATAATTGCGCTTATTATTCTTATTAATTGTGTAATACATTCAATGAATAATATAAATGTTAAATATTCACAGATTGTCTGGTCGCGACATGATTGGTATAGCTTCCACTGGTAGTGGTAAAACGTTGGTGTTTGTTTTACCTATCATTGAATTTTGTCTGGAACAAGAAATCGATATGCCATTCATTAAAAAGGAGGGACCTTATGGTAAATGTTTACAATAAATAGAATTATCGAGAATATATATATATATATATATATATATATGTTTTTTATTCATAGGCTTGATAATATGTCCTTCAAGAGAATTGGCTAAGCAAACCTATGACATAATTCGGCACTACACCAATAGCTTAAGACAAACGGACTGTCCAGAGATACGCTGTTGCTTGGCAATAGGAGGTGTGCCAGTTTCAGAGTCGTTAGCTATAATCAACAAGTTAGTGATTATTATTGTTAATTATATTTTTCATATTTTTATCTCTAATATGTTGCAATTTATTTTTTATTATTATTCATAGAGGTGTACATATAATGGTAGCAACACCAGGACGATTGATGGATATGTTACATAAAAAGATGGTTACTTTAAGTGTATGCCGTTATCTTTGCATGGACGAGGCAGATCGCATGATAGATATGGGATTCGAAGAAGATGTTCGAACAATATTTTCTTTTTTTAAGGTAAGTACTTTCTCATGTATTTTATGCAAGATGAAAAGATTAAATGTTTATTAAAATAATAATAATAATTGTTGTCTGTCACAGGGTCAGAGGCAAACGCTTTTATTTTCTGCTACTATGCCGAAAAGAATTCAAAATTTTGCGCGTTCAGCATTAGTGAAACCTGTAACTATAAACGTTGGCCGCGCTGGTGCTGCGTCAATGAACGTAATACAAGAGGTGGAATATGTCAAGCAAGAGGCTAAGATTGTTTATCTCTTGGAATGTCTTCAGAAAACTGCACCGCCAGTTTTAATATTCGCAGAGAAGAAGCGTGACGTGGATGCCATCCATGAGTATCTGCTCATAAAAGGAGTGGAAGCTGTTGCGATACATGGAGGAATAGGTACAATATTTCAGACAAACTACATTGTATTAAACATTAATATATTGATATAAAATTATTGCAATATTACTGATCAATCATATTAATTCTTCACAATTAAAATATCAATGTAAATTAAATATATTCACATTCCTTTTATTATATTCTTTCAGATCAGGAAGAAAGATCACGTTCAGTGGAAGCGTTTCGCGCAGGTCGAAAAGACGTACTCGTTGCGACAGACGTTGCATCAAAGGGTCTCGATTTTGCTGATGTGCAACACGTTATTAATTATGACATGCCAGACGACGTAGAAAATTACGGTAATATATATGTGATAAATGAAAAATGGTGATGAAAAAAGAGATATTTAACATAATTTTGTAATTTTTAGTGCACAGGATAGGACGAACTGGCCGTTCCGGACGTACTGGTATAGCAACGACTTTCATTAATAAAGCAAACGATGAATCAGTACTACTCGATCTTAAACATTTACTAATGGAAGCAAAGCAAAAGGTGCCACCATTCTTGCTGGAACTTTGTTCTGAGAATGAAAAATATCTCAATCTGGGAGGTAAGATATATTTTTTTTTCTTTATAAATTTATGTCGTTATTTCTTGTAATTCTAAAGAATTCTTCTTTCTTGTTTTATCGCAGATGAACGCGGATGCAGTTATTGTGGTGGACTCGGACACAGAATTACAGAGTGTCCAAAATTGGAGGCTGTGCAAAACAAGCAGGCGTCCAATATCGGGCGTCGCGATTATCTGGCTAGTAATGCCGCCGATTATTGAGTGACGCATTTTAAAATTGTATTTATTGTAAATATGTATAGTACATACAGGGTGAGTAAAAAGTTCCGGACCATTGAAATATCTCGAAAGTAAAGTATTTTTTGGGAAAAATGATTCAGATAAAAGTTGTAGGGTTTAAAAATATCTATTTACTGATCACATCTATTTGATTTTGGGTGGCATCGCCAAGATCAGGTCAATCGATTTTTTTTAAATAGAACACCCTATTTTTTATTCCAGAATTTAATAGTTAATTAATGGCAACACCATCCAAAGTCAAACAGACGTGATCAGTATAAATAGATCTTTTAAAACTCTACAACTTTTGTCTGAATCATTTTTTACCAAAATGCTTTGTTTTCGAGATATTTCACTTGTCCAGGATTTTTTATTCCCCTGTATATGAAAATCCATTCCTGTGATTTAAATTAATGTTATATAAGCAATTTAACAACAAAAAAAAAAGAACTAAATGCTATATATAATTGTTTATTTATTGCATTACCATTCTTTAGTTTTCAACATAAAAAAATTTTGATAAATGTTTACAATAAGGGATTTGGCTCTGATTTTGATCTTGTCATATGTTATCAAAGTCATAAGTGATCTCTAAAAGGTGTTAAAGTGTTTGTTACTTTTGTTAGAAAGTTATTAATCTTTAAACTGTCGGCATTTTTTATTAAAATATTGATTCTTTTTCCTCAAAAATATTTCTATATAAGTAATATATACATGGCGCAAAATTTCGAGATTTATGCAGAATCACAAAAATGGCTTTCCCGGCAAAGAACATATGATCAAATATAAAAAAAATATTTATTTATAAGTTCTTATAAGAACGAAGAACTTTTAATTTAAAAAACAATGTCGAGAGTAGTTTTATGTTTTAAAATATTTCGTTATATTTGACTCTTATGTCCTGTATTCTCTCGGTATTGTTTTTCTAAAAAATATTGTATTTTGGGGGTTTTTGATCTCTCTCGCTTGATTCCAATTCTGAGCATAGATTCATTTCAAGCCCTAAGCGCAATATTGACAACATAAATGAAAAATGTATAGACTCAGAACTTTCCTTTAGCATTATTCAGAGCTCACGATGGATGTAGAAAATTTATAGTTCCTTTTTGGCTCTCCTTTTTTGTTTGGTTTTTAAAATTTATTTTTTATATTTTTTTTACTTTTTTTGTTTTATAATTTTTTTATTTTTTTTTATATTTTAATTTTTTGTATATTTTTCAATACTTATACAGGGTACTGAAAGTTTTAGCCAATCTTTTATGTAGATAGAATGGATTACTGAGTCGAAAAATCCTGTATCATTTTGCAATTTTCGTAATAGTTAATAAGATATTAATTACTAAAAATTGCCAAATATTGGCCTTGAATAATTTTTTACTCAAATACGGTCAACTTTACAGAAAAACTGCAAGAGATCAAAATCATTTATTTTCTTTTCATAGAACTCTAAGAATTTTTTCAAAATTTTTTATTAATTTTTTAGTACTGGATTTTATTATTTTTACCAACATGAGAAAATATGGATATTAAAAAATTTTTTAAAAATTCTAAAAAATTCCTCGGAACTTTATGAGAAGAAAATAAATGATTTTTGTCTCTCGTCGTTTTACGTAGAATTAAAAAATCTATCTGAAACAGTATAATTACAAATCTTATTTCGCCCTGTAAAGCAGTGAATTTTTTTTAACAAGTAATGAGCACCAATTAAAACTTATTAGATATGCCTCAAAGTTACTCAAGGTTATGACAACTTTTACAATATATGTTAATATCAAGATCATCAGAGCTGAGAGTCTCTTATGTGACTGTAAAAAAACTAAACATTTACCAAAATTTGTTAATGAACTAAAAAACTCAAAAAACGAGATTCTATAGATTTTCCAAATTCATATGTTGTTTCCACTTCCACGTTCTATGCCATGAGAGTCGGATAATGATTGGTTGAATCTCAGGCCGTATTTTTGAAAAATATTTTAAATTGTCAAGAGTGCTCATTATTTTTATTCTTCAATATTATATTACTGTATAAATTAATTTTATTTTCGGTATAAAAGTCGCATAAAGCAAGAACATCCTTTCATTTATGCCAACTTCAGAGATACAGTCATTTCGATTTAAGAGATGCGTTTTGTAAAAACGAAACAAAAGCTGCCGCGTCTGTCACCAGTGATTTCTTCACATAAACCTTCCAGGCCTGTCATAATACAAAATTCCTGTACATGATGCCAAATTGATCAATCTGGCCTTAATTAAGTGCCGGTTATACCTATCGGTATGACTGTTAACGGGTTGCAAACTTTCGCAAGATGAAAAAATATTGGATCCATTATTTGAGCGCCAAGAAAAATCATCGCGCTAACCAGAAAAGTTTACCTTTTGGAGACTCTAGAAAATATATTTTTACGAGGTTTTTAAAATTTCTTTTTCGACTTTTTCAATAGTCATTCAATCTAAGTCATTATGTTTTGGATTATTTTTCTGAATAGTATTAAATAAGATCATAAATGCAGTGTTATAAAAATGTAATATCATAAAGACATGTCATTTCTCACAAAGACATGTCGATATGTACCAATCTAAGTGCAGAAATATTATTATATTTTTATTTAAAAAAAAATCAAACAGAGTGCTTTCCATGGTGACACAAATCGATACAATATTGTTCTATCTTTGTTATTCATTGGAATATCAAGAAAGATAGAAGGATATGACATTAAATGGAAAGCACTCATAATTTAGCAAAAGAATTTTTTGTTAGATTTCTAGAGGATAAAAGTGACAGCAGTTTCGTCCTCTCTCCTTGACCTTTGTTTCGTTCTCTCTCTCTCTCTCTCTCATAATGAAATTTTATAATAAACATTAATAGTATATTACTATAAAAATATTGTGTGTGTATATATATATATATATATATAAATTTATATAATGTATATTAATTTTTAATGTCAAGAATTACCTAATATCAATAACAATCAATGATGGCGACCCGAAAACCACGAATTCAACCTGGTCTGACAAAGACACAGGCACTACGACAGGCGAGAAGTGCCACTGTAGTAAAAGAGTATGAACGGAAGGAAACAGCGCGACAACCACAACCAGTCCCCTTGGCAGGTCCTAGTAGAAGGCAATATACTCCAGCCGAGCCGAGGAGAGTCGACTTTGCCAGACCAACTATGACAAAGGCGATGATGGCTCGAATGAAGCATGCGGAAAAGTTCAAGCAGGAATATGAACGTAAACGAGAGGAAGCTATGCCACGAAGGAGGCCAAGAAGGACACCTGCACCAATCGGTGGTGATCCTAGGTGAATTTCGAAAATTATGTGCAGCATATCGATATATTATTTCAGCTGGGAAGTCTCTAAAACGTTTCGCATGCTGAACTGAACGTCGCTTCTTTAAAACTCCTGAGTAGTCGCTGCGGCCATGTTGGAATTATGACGTCAGAAGCGAGGAATGACACGTTAATTTATGTTACGTGCCATTTGTAAATAAAGGCAATTTGAATAAATCTAAATAACGAGATCGCTTTAAAACATTTGTAAAAATTAAACAAAATTGTAATTTCTTCTCTTGATAGACAGCAAATGATCGTAAAAGACACATAAAGTGAGCCTATACTCAAACAGAAACACACGATCTGACAGCGGTTGAACGAATTAAAAATACGCTTTTATTCCAAGATAACTTTAGTTTTCTTCAATACTAGAAATTTAAAACGCCAATTCGGCGCGCAATTAGAAAAGATTATAATATGGTATATATGCAAGTACATATATATAAATTAGTAATTCAAGAATTATTTAAAGCGATGAAGATCCAGCTTCGACCGTAATAGGCATTTTAAATTTCTAGTATTGATTGTGTTTCTCACATATGCGGTCTAAAATAAAGTTTCTTAATATTGTTTAGCTTTCTTCAATTACGACTTTAAAAAGTCACATTTTTAATTAAGCACATAATAATGAAATGGCACGTAACATAAAATTTCGTTGTCAAAACATTACTTTTCACGTCTAATAAAGTTAATTCACCCGTTTTCCAAGATTATCCTGACAAATCACGTTTCGCGAATGACGACTTGCCCAATTGACAGGTTTCACAGAAAGAATAATTTTTATCTTTGAGTTTGAGTCTTCGCATATACAATCATTTTTAGCCATATCTGGCAAATAGATCCTTGATTTACATAGTCTAAACGTTCATGCCACATTTTTAAGTTCGTGACCAAAAGATTGATTCTGTTTGAATTAGCTTGAATCGATTTTAAAATTTATAAATGATAAAGTGATTGCACTAGGTGCAAAACAGGATAATGACAAAAAATGTACGTGATATTATAGTACAGCGTATCAACTGTACTTGTACTGCGTACCGTTTAGGTATATCATGGTACCGATTTTCTTGAAATGCATCTTAAATATATTTTACAATTTTTACACTCTAGACTTGGTAGAGAGAGACCACGAGCTATTAGACGTGCCCCGACAGTGTCTCCGCCGATTTCGCCTCCTAGAGTGAGAAGGCCAGAGAGAAGAGTGCCGGAACCGATTCCGGCTATCCCTGAGAGAACCAGGGAATTAGCGAGATCCATGAATGCCCAGGTAATCCAAGCCGAGCCAGTAGGCGAGGGTCCAATTGATAGCATTGTGATACCACCGAGATCAGTGAACGAGAATCGGACCACTATCGTCAGCATCCCTCAACCACCTGTGGCCATTGAACCGCCATCTGAAATAGCAAATCGTTCGATTCAAGTGATCAAGTAAAGCTTGAAATTATCTCGATGATGTTCTGAAAAGTAGATGAATAAAACTAAATCTAAAAAGATTCGTTCTTGCGATGAAAGTTGGAAAATTGCGGATCTCCTTTATTCCTTTTTGTCTTTAACGCAAAGAAAAAAAAAAGATTATACTTCAACATGCAAATCGGATTATGTATTCATAACTTCTGAATCTTCTAAGAAACATTACAATAAACTTAACGAATTCAGAAGTATTTCATGACGAATATTGGGAATTTCTTTGTTCATGGAATAAATAATTCTAAAGAATTTTTTAAGTTCTTTTATTTTTTTATCAGATTAATAATTGCAATGTTTCAATGACTTATTAATTATGAACGTTGTTTGATAGTGAAACTCTCGATGAGAATGATGCTGCTGAAGCGGTCACAGTGCAGGGCAAGTTGGAGGACTTGCAACAAGCGAGACGAGACTTTGTGATGGCTGTGGCGAATGTCGGTGGTAATGCCGTAAAACTCGCAGAAGAAGAAAGACCTAGATACATTTACAGGTGAGAATATCACGAGGAAGAGAGAAAATAAAGAGTTAAAGTTTTTTAAGTTAAAACATGTTAATGTTCGATCAACATGCAAATATTTTTAGTCTAGTTACATTTAAAAGCCAATTAAAGCAAGCTAAGGAAGGGATAACATAGTGTGTGCAGTTAGACCGTATCTCTCTAAATCTCCACCATCTTCATCTATAAAATTATATTCATGAGTTTCAAGAAGTTACAACTGTAAAACGCTAAATATGGGACGGTATTCATAGTCCATTTTTATTTTAAAACTGACTTAAGTATAATGTCTTAAAATGTTAATATAGTCCTTGGATTAACTTACCACATCTTAAGATTACTTAAGATAGTCTTAAATGTAAGAATCGACTATGAATACTGGCCTGTTTCGAGTCGTGAAATTGGTATTGAACCTTTCCTTTCTCTATCTTTTTATCTATTGATTTTATGTGAATATGGCAATGGAGACATTTGTTCAGATTCACAAGAAATATAACATATCTCAAAACGGACCGATTTGATCGGGATTATTGTTCCCATGGACTTCTATAAATAGACTGCCAACTTTGCCTCTATCTTTGAAAACAGCGCTGAGGTGATATTTCATTTGTGCGTTTTTGTCACACGATAAATTTTTCAAACCTAATGATTGGCTATGATGGGATAGAGAGATTCGAAGATCTCTCTGTTCTGTACACGTTTACCGTACGATAAAAACGTATAAATGAAATAGCACCCCTGGGCAGCGACATATTTAGTTCTCTCATTCACCATGTATAAATTACATGGATAAATCACACGATACTCACAATGAGAACTAAAACAAAGGCAACTCGGAATCAGGTCATCTCTTTCTATTGCATTGAGTCAGCAATCTATTTATATTTTTTGATAAAGTTTCACTTTTACATATCAGTTAGTTGGAATTTATCAAGTTAATCAATGTCCATGTTTAATACAGAGTTCCTGACATTGAAAGCGAGATGTTCCGTATCGAATACGGTCGAGAACATCCAGCCGTCGTGGCGGCACGCGAATTCGCCCAAAGAAGTATGGCCGGAATTAGGGCGCGTGAGGCAGCTCGTCGAACTAAACGGGAATTCGAGAGGATAGCTCAGGAGCCATTGCCGGAGGATCTGCGTTTTGATGTGCCTTTCGAGGAAGAGTTTTTACGTGAAGGCGACATATCCTGGGAAGAGGAGGAAGACATACCAATTGTGTCTAGGATAAAACCCACGATGCGCGACATACCAAGGCGCGAGGCACCTTATGAGTATCCTCCATTCGATCCAGAGGAGCTAGAGAGATTTTTCGACATAGAACAGTATCCAATAAGTCCACTACGTGGACCACCACCTGGTCGCGAGCATCTCCCACCGGATCTTTGGGAATTAGAGGATCCTTGGGCATTTGGCTATCCACAGCCAGACATATCCGATCTCATTCGCTTCGAGAGCCCTTAGTCCTTCGTCTACCATACATGATCTGGTAGACTTGTTTTCATTTTCAAAATTGATCTAAGATATTCTATGCTATAAAAAAATAATTAAATATACTCGATTTGAAATATATGTTATGTCATTTTCTTTCGTAATTCGTTATATTGTTTGTCAATTAAATTGTATTGAAATGATTTGCAGAAGTGCGTACGTAATGAGGGGAATCAATGAAGATCGATAAATTAAGCCTTTAAACATTTGTGAAACACAAGAAATCATCATTTATCAACATCCGTCTTGCATCATTTGATTTATTATAAGAAACACTGTACAATACTTTTTTTGTACAATACTTAAATATTCAGTATTTAAATTTATGAATATTGTATTGCAGAGTCTCAAATAAACATGGATTTTTAAAGAATATTATACTTCGTTCCTATTTTATCTTTCGAGAATTTGAATGAAAATAACAATAATAAAAATTTTTATATATTAAATATTGATAAAAAACAAACTAATAATTCTAAAAACTATGATTTATTTCTTTTATCTTAATTTTATATAAATTTTGAGATATCATTTAACATAAGAAAGAAATATATTAAAATGTATTCATATTGTTTGGAAAAAGATCTAACAAACAAGCGAAATTTATCAGAGAAACTAGAAAACAACTAATATGCTTATCTTTTCATTATTATCTTATTGTATTTGCGTGTCTAAAGTACTTTAGATTGTGTTTTTTACAACCTTAATCCGTGTTTCAATTTTTTAATAATATATAATACCGTGAATTAAAGGCAGCAGGTAATATGGTTTCGTTACTTAAGTAATTGTGACATATAACAATGATAAATATGTCGATTAGGGGAGGCAGCCGATGACCTTGACCTTGACATATGTTGTCATAACTCTCAGTGACCTTCACCAGATTTTAGCTATCGCTCGTTATTCATTAAAAAGTTATTAACAAAAAAGTTCATCAATAAAACCTAACTTTTAAACGCAACTGTGCTCTGATGAAACAAATTTTCTGCTTTAATGCAAAATATTTCCTTATACAGGATGTTTGGAAAATAATGATAAATTTTTCGCAGAATTAACTAAACTGAGAAGAAAAGTCCTCTACCATTTTACGATTTTAGCAATAGTTAATAAAATAATTGCTAAAAATTGCCAAAAATTGATATTTTAATAATTTTTTACTCAAATACTATCAACTTTATATAAAAACTGCAAGAGACAAAAATTATTTATTTTCTTCTCATAGAGCTTCAAAAATTTTTTCAGAATTTTTTTATCAACTTTTTAATACTGCATTTTCTTATTTGATATTTTTATCATAAGAAAATACGGTATTAAAAAATTCTGAAAAATTTTGAAAAAATTCTTAGAGTTCTATGAGAAGAAAATAAACAATTTTTGTCTCTTGCAGTTTTCTGTAAAGTTGATAGTAATTGAGTAAAAAGTTATTGAAGATTTTCAGCAATTTTTAGTAATTAATATCTTGTTAATTATTGCGAAAATTGCAAAATGGTAAAGAATTTTTTGACTCAGTCCGCTCTACCTGCTCATGAAATATTTGGCAATTATTTTAGGACACCATGTATGTTTCTTTTAATATAGTTTAATTTTGAGCTCATCTTTCTTATTACAACGTACTATTTTCTATTTTGAAAGATAAACTAAAAATTCCATTCGTGCACACACACTATTGTAGTGTTTAAAATTCTTGTTAGAATATCTGTTAGATATTCTAACAAACTAGAGACGAACTTGTACGACGAATAAGACAGGAAGCCAGCACGCGTCTACATTATTATTATATAGTCACCCCTCAACTTTCTATTGTATCATGCAATAGCATAATGTTATAATGTCACTTTGCGAAAGCGTCCAATAAATGATATTTCAGAAATAGAAAAGTGATGGTTTAATATCAGATACGCTCTGACATCACTAAATTGGTAAACTTTGACAGTGACAATTCCAGTGACATCCTACAATTTCATATTATTTACGCCATAACTTACATGTTAAGGAATCAATAGCATATGTAGAGAGAGAGAGAAAGAGAGAGAGAGAGAGAGAGCACGTGTCATTCTGTTGTAGTCTTTCAATGAAACTAAGCAAATAATCATGCTAGAAAATTTTTTGCGAGAGTATAATGTTAATCGAGTATTTCTGTCGAGCATGGGCCTTTGGCCATTTCAAAATAAGTCCATTAGAAATTTCTTACGGACTTTCTTCTTTCTGATCGAAATAAGTTATTGTCCCTTCGAGGTAATACGTATAGATTGATATATTTTAGACAGATACATCCAATTTGTGTTTTTAGTTTTAAATTTTATTTTTATAAGATTTAAGTATAATACATGTATATTATATCATTAGTGAGCTTTATGTGTGTTCCTGTCATAAGAAGTTTACAACGCAACATATTTAATATAATAATTAATCATTAAACATAATTAAACTAATTAAACATATACACAAATGTATAACATTTTATATTTAATAAATGCACAATTCTATACTTATTTATTTAAACGTAAAATATTTTACGATTTTATGATAATCCAACGTGACTCGCAGATATTATTATTGTACGATCATTTGGACAATCCACAAATGATTTTTGATGCCAGTTATCAATTTATGATGTCGATTTCTTTCATTGGGAGGCAGATAAATGAGTTCTGGAACCAAGACAAGGTAAGTTTTTATAACTGTAATGTGTTATATTTGTTTTCCCTTTTTACTTATGTTTATACTGCGGTACAACTATTTCAGACTTAACATGTTAAACCGTTTCCATGTTTATTGCAATCAGTTGCGACGGTTGTACGAAGCAATTGATCAGCATTGGGATATATTTACGAATGACATGGAGGTTCAAGTTATGAAAAATTATTCTATGCTATCACGAAAATTTACAAAATATTACTCGAGTAAGTATTGCAAGACTAATATATTGAACATAGCCAGAGGCATATCTAAGATATGGCAGGCATGACACGTGTCCTGGGCGCCAAATCGCGCAAAGTAGTTTTATTAATTCAGTACGATTCAATGTATTTCCTCAAACATGATATACATAATGAATTAAAATATCAATCTGACAATTGAATTTTATTTCTAAATTTTTGTGAAAAATACCATTTTCTTCGTTAAAATATCAAATATTTCATTTATATAATTTTTTTATTCACTAAAAGATAATTATAATTATACTCTACATAATTTGAAATATTTTTAATTGAAACGTTTATTTCAAAATGTTAACGTCGCAGAAATTATAAATTATAAACATGTAATCTTCATGACAATTTAGTTGGTAAGAGCCAAGTTTATTTTTTGCAATGTGAAAGACAGGCTTAATAATTATTTAAGTCCATTATTTTGTCTTAAATAAATCTTTTTTTGTGTAAATCTTTGTGTGCAAATTTTCTCGTAAAAATATATTTTCTTCCACCTTTTCATACTTTTTTTTTTTCTTAATAACGATAAACTTTTGCCTGAAAAAATTAACTTTGAGCAGAGCACAGATCAATTTGCAATGGTAAAAGAAAGAAAGATGCAGTTATAATTTTTAGTAATGTAAGTTGCTATAATGTAATGTAAATAAATAAAAGATAAACATACTTGACTTTTTGAGCTAATATTGTAATAATAATGTAAAATTATCTAAAACATGGATTTCAGATATTTGGATAGGGATGCAATTTCAATGCTTGCCATAGGAACTATTTTCCGTAGATACGTCTCTGAATATAGCATCATATGATCTTAAAATGTAACACAATTCTCTTTTGGAATATTGCAGTGCTAATGTTTAGCTCAATGTTGATACTTTCATTAATACCATTAACACCAATATTGCTAGACACTGTGATGCCTCTTAACGAATCACGTCCGCGATTCTTTGCGATTGAAGTTGAGTTCAGAGTGAATAAAGATGATTACTTTTTATCAATTTTATGTTATACAACTGTAATAATTCTGATAGGTGCAAACGTCGTGATGGGCGTTGATGCAATGCATATCGCATGCACCGCTCATGCGTGTAGTTTATTTGCCGCTATCAGGTAGATCAATTAAATATCGTAATAATATTGTTATAAATATTTTATGAAACATTCATTTTATATATATATATATATTTTTTATTTTATATATATACATTTTCCGTATATATATTTTATAATGTATATGTGTCGTTTATTATCTACTAAAAAAAAAACATATTTTATTTATGTATTTTAAATCAAATACAATGGATAAGCTCCAAATAAATAAAATTCAAATTATCAAAACGTAAAAAGGCCGAGGAGCCAAACTTATTGTTCATGCAATACAATATTTACATATTTATTGCGGAATAACAATTATAAATACATATAAACGTTTCGATCTTTTTATAGATTATCAGTGTGATAAATTATCGCTACCAATTTACATTTCAAAATTTTCATATAAAGAGAGAGATTATATTAAGACTCTTGTATCGAGATTATTAAAATTATTATTATTAAAATTCTCGTACTTAGAACGCAATTGTCATTAAAATAAATTTTTTATAGAAACCTTGTATTTTATGGTGAATAATGATGTGTGTCAGTACAGTATTAGTTCATTCTCTGCATTCGATACATCATATCTAATATTACACCGGCGCATATCGTTGTTCATTACAAAATACAAAGTTTCTATAAAAAATTCATTCTAATGACAATTGTTTGCGTTCGGAGTACAAGAGTCTTAATATAATCTCAGTCTTTTTGTGAAAATTTTGAAATATAAACCGATAATTTTATCACACTGATGATGACCTGATGTAAAAAAGTAGGAACGTATGTATTAGGTGTAATAAAAAGAAATCCATTATTTTTACAATAGATGGCTTTAGTAATCTGTATCTATGTAAAAATAATGGATTTCTTTTTACTACACCTAATATTTATAATTATTATTTCGCAATAAATATATAAATAAAAAAATTAATGTATAGTGCGAACAACAAGCTTAATTCCTTAGCCTTTTTATGTTTTGATATTTTGTTTAACTCTTGTGAGATATTATTTACAGCAAACGAATCGAGAATTTAATTTCGAAAGCGAATAACAATAAAGAAAGCAGCAAATGTAGATATCGTATGAATATGGAACTTGATCCATTAAATGAAAAATTAATGTACAGAGAATATATAATATGTTTAAAGAAACATCAACTTGCTATAGAGTAGGTTGTTTTTATATTTTTCATTATCCTCCTCTATATAAAATGTTTGTCACACTCTC